TTTCGGAAAGAAATCGAACGGTCTGTATACCGAAAGAAACGATTTAGAAAAGCTAGAGAGTTTCGCGACGACCGAAACCTTAGAGGACCTTGAAACGCGTCATGCCGAGACGAGAGAACGCTTCGAGTAACTTTCGTACGTGCTTAGTCACGATTTGTGCCAATGTCCAACAAGTTGTTCGGAGTCGCACATGTCTCCGAGAGGGTACATGATAAAGACGGACGGATGGATAAAAGACGATAATCGCGAACTATCTTCTACCGAACGAATTGGACTAAATGAAAAAGAAATAAGGACGCCGAAGATGTCTCTGGTAACGAGCATTATTTAATATGGTAATAATGTATCGGAACTAGCGTGCGAGTACTAGCTGCGGAACAGAACGCGTGGAGCACAAAGTGGCACTCGTCCAAGAAGAACTCTGTAAAGCTCGTGCTCGCTTTTCCCTACCGGAAATGCATGTGAGAGCAGAGAGAGAGAGAGAGAGAGAGAGAGAGACCGAAATGCTTCTTCTTCTTCTTCTCCTTCTTTCCTCGAGCGAGCACACAACATTTACGGATGAGTCATTTTCACGGAAGAAACCACTCATAAATCCGCTTTTACCGCGAAGCCTCCGCAATTCGAAACAAACAAGTCTTGCTGTTTTGGAGTTTTTCTTTCTTTTTTTTTCCCTCTCTCTCTCTCTCTCTCTTTGTCGTCCATTCTGTGGACTAACTCGAAAGAACTTTCAAAAAGCGACGCTAACGAGGGTGTCTCCTTCAATACCAAATTTGTCAGTCGCTGTTTACCTTGAAATCTTATGGGTTTGTTACTTTAGATAGAAAAAGAAAGAAAGAGAGGGAGACAGAGAAAGGACAGTAACGTAGGTATTACATGGGTTTACGGTCAAGCGCGCATTGTTATCGAGCCTAGAAATTTATGATCATAGCTTTACGACACCATTAATTGATGCGAATGTTCCCAAAGTATTTTTCCGCACAAATAAGTTCCCTTAACGTAACAAACGAGATAATACTTGTTCTTCGTCCCTTTCGTTGTACCTTAGCTTCCATTCGCCGAACGATCTTGCTGACCTTCGTATTCTTGGAAAGAAAAGCAAGAAAAGAAAACAGATACGGTGACGTAAATGACCATACAATGATAAGACCCTTTCTTTAAAGCGAATATTTACATTTCTCGATAAGAGGACAAAGTTGATACGATTCCGATGAGTCATTTACTCTGCTATCCCTTTCTTTGAACCTTCGAAATCTTCGAAATCTCCAAGGAATCATTCGAAAAACCGTTAGTTGCTATCTCAGACCTGACCGTCCAATTAAAGTGCTTCCGACGATGTAGCAACTCGAGCGAACGGTGTATGCAGCAAGGAACCGATAGAACGTTACTCGGTGACGGGGAGACCAAGAGGAAAAGAGAGTGAACGGAGAGTTGGTTGGGAGAGGGAAAGAGAAAGAAACCGCTGGGGAGAATCTGGGTCACGACCCAAATCATTCTCCCCATCGGACTCCGTTCTGATCTTTCGTGACGCAAGAAAGTGCCCAAAGCATTTTGAAAGCATTTTCAAGAGAATTTACTACGTATTTCGTTTTCAAGATATCACGATGTAAACGTATCCAAAGTCTATTTCCATTGTCGATAATCGTATTGACCGAAAGAAAGAAAAATACAAATGAAAAGAAAAGACAAAAGAAAAGAATCATGGATCGATCGTATGGTATATAAGTAGGTAAGCATATAAAATTGACACGAATCCTCAAAGCCTTCGGTATTATCGGTTTCTTTGGGTACACCGAAGAGCCAAGGACCTTTAGGTAGACCTTGCTTGTCCACAAGGATTCGTGAATTCGAGGTCGATGTTGCGGTATTCGGAGCACACGACGCAACCCTTGTCGATCCTCGAATCGTCAATGTTAAAAGCAATTTTTAGCTTACTAAAACGTGTTACTCCCGGACTACCGGATATAATTCCATTGGCGAATCCATTTTTACGGAATATTCTTCTTCGACGGATAATTTTCTTATCGTAAACGAAAGGAAAGAATCAAACTAAAAGAAAGGTAGATTTTTATTACCGTTTAATGATCCAATTTGAAAAGAAATTCCTTGGTCCGAAAAGTGGTAGAGGAGGAGGAGGAGGAGGAGGAGGAGGAGGAGGAGGAGGAGGAGGACCGAGTGTTTTCAACACGGGAAAGCTGTTGCGACTCGATCGACTTGGCAACGTGGCGAGTTCATCTCCACGCAACGTTGCTTCCACGTGAATCAGAAAGAGAGAAAGAGGGAAAACGTGCCGGAAGGAGAGAGAGAGGAGACGTCTCACTCGAGTCCGTGAGATGTCGGCGAATCGAAGATGTTTCCGAAATATCTTTTTAATTTCTTTCAATTT